AAATTAAGGTTATGGTCGGGATTAGAGTTAAGTGTGCCAACTGAACCTGCTTAAGCTGTAAAAATAACTTGGATTCAAATAAGTGTTGTTTTGGCAACTAGAAACCAACTGGTTGTAAAGCTGTGGGTTTAACTGAATAAGCCAGATAAAGAAGGGGTTAAAGAGTCAGATCCAGGTCACTGCACTCATCTCCACACCTTTATGCTCCGTGAAAACGTAGTTTCAAGCATGTTCCCTTTTTTTCAGTCACTCAAGACTCACGCCCTCTTTATTCAAACCTGTCAAACAGAAAAGAAAATGCGTCTTCATTCAAGACCAGCTACGTAGATGAAGATCTGTCTTTTAAGTCCAAGTAGAACAGATCTGTTTTTTTCTGAGCACTTTGTGACTGATTGGAGTGAACTTGAGCTTTTAAGCCACTATGCGATGCCACTTTATCTGATGAACTAGTTAAATTGTACACAAGAAATCCACAAATCAGTTGCTGGAGGTAAAATTTGTAGCAGACTTCCAGAAGACATTGATATTTTTATTAATGCCATGTCTTGGGATGAAGTCAAACCACTGCTGTGGTCAATATGAGCCCAACTTTACTGCAGCGTGGGGGGAAAAAGTAGTTCCACCACAGTGAAGGGATCACACTGTCCTGTGTTTTACTGGTCTTGCAGATTATTTAACAGAAAGAGTATGTGTTAAATTCACTATGTTAATGTGATTGTTCATATGAACTTTTTGAGTTTGGGGCAGTAGTAACCATGGCGCTGACCCTGAATTCTCCAGCAGCACAAATACTGTTTTCATTTTATCGCCCATTGCACAACAGTTTCAGTACACTTTGTAACATACTTTTTCTTTTTCGGACTGTAATCCCTCCTCTGACCACTGCGTTTAATTTGGATCAGGTTTTCCCGCCATACTCCTTGTCTCTGTTGCTATGGTTACTTCCCTCTTCAGCCCTCGTGGACCAATTATTGCCAGCCAATATGAAACGCGTCACTGCGTCTGCCTACGATTGTCGCCACCAGATTTTAAACTTACATAGGCTAACAAGCGAATTGCAGAGATTTAACTGCCGCAATCAGCATCATGTGAACTTTAAAGGACGATCATTTCAGAATCAGAAACAGATTTATTGCCAGGTATAGTTTACACAATACGAGGAATTTGTTCTGGTGAGTTGGTGCAACAGTAAATATAGAGTAAATGTATATGTCAAATTACCAGTAAGGCCTTGCAGCTCTATCACCAGTCACAAATATCCTGTTTTTAGACCTTCATAACAACTTTAAAAGACAGTTAGCGACATCTCCATTGGTCTACACAGTGTGAAGCAGTAACATATGTTTATCTTTGCTTTAACTCGCGGACAGTTGCTTTCTTCTCTTGCTCGCATACCTTCATCAGATCCATGTTGGGATGCTGTTTTCGTTCCTTTCTAATCGTTTCTTTATATAGAGATAATGTAAATACGATTAACCGCTTACAATGACTCGCTTGTTTTTGAATTCCCGCCTAATTTCCATCAGCTGCTGCAGGATTTCAGATTTGAGCCAAATAGCAAACCGGTGCATCACCACCACCAACACCAAGGAGTATGGAGTGTGGATCGTAATTACAACTGTCTTTAAAAAAAAAAAAAACCCTCATGAGCCCTGTCTTAACTGATTTAAAGTAGAAACAGGCAGCTTTCAAGTGTCACAATGACTGGACACCAAATTACAATGATTTTTTTTCTTACTTACTGATCTAGCAAATATACCGTGGGGGTTTAGAAGAGCATGCACCAATGATTGTTCACTCAAAATAGTAATGGGTGGAACTGCTTTGGTCGAACATTTGCATGTAGGGAAGCAAGCACTGCAATTCTGTGCTTCTTTGCTAATTCACCCAAAAAACAAAAAAACAACCACAACAAAAAGACAGCTTTTAAAAGGGCTGATTTACTGCACAGAACTTGGAGCGTTTACTGTGGTGGGTTGTCAGCCTGGAAGCTGTTGTTGTTGTTGTAGAGGGGCATTGTGAAAATGGTAACACGCAGATAGATGAAGAGGAGGAGAAAGCTGTGTGAGATGTCGACTAACTGACAAAGAAAAAGGTAAAATCACATGATGCCTGTGACAGAAGCAGTTGAAAACAGATCAAAAATAGGCCAATAAACCCCTGAAACCGGATTCGTTGTTATATTCTTAACATTTGGATTCACAAACACTAGAAGAGGAAAGCAAAGTTTTGAAAAGAAGTTTTGCAGTGCTGCCACTTTAAGAGCAGCCTGGCTCTGAGTTTATTGCTGGAATACACATCCTCTAAGGACAATGTAAACTACACTAATAAGGGTCTTAAAGCTAGATATTGCAGGGCGGGGGATGGATCTATTACATAACATATTGACATGTCAGTACAGCTATTAATGTGGCCTAGGCAGGTCTGAAACACGTTAGATTAATGACTAAAATGATAACATTGTCCAGGTTTTACTGAATGTAATTCAGGTTTTTGCAGAAGCATTACTCGACCTGATGAAGTCCTGTTTGCTGCCCAAAGCTGGCTCTGTGTTAAATCTCTGTCCTTTGACTTTAATAAATACCTGCAGCATCCCACAGCAGTAGAAACAATAAGCTGATCAAATCCAGTTTGTTTACCTTTGGCTCATCTAAAACAGCCTGAGTTCTGTGCATGTTATCTATCAGGCAGCAAGGAAAACGGGTTAAAAAGGCAAGAAAGCACAACAATAATTTGTAAAACAAATTCAGGAGTATAAAAGAGTAAAACGTGGGAAACAAGGCATCGCTACTTGTAAGTTCAGTTCCAAAACTAAATCAATATTAAGGCAAATAAGATCAACCAAAAGCCACTAAAAATATGTCCATCTTGAAGTTTCTCTTGTCGGTGGAGGACAAACAGAAGAAGGCTGAGACTGGAGTTATGGAGCAGAAATGTTTCTCTAATAAATGTCTGAATGAAGATTACACCCCTTTTCAAGACACAGCAGATAATAACGCAGGGCCCAACTTTTTGATATTTATTCACTCTCTGGTATAGATTCCCTTCAGCAATTTACAAATAATCAGACGAACAAATCCCGTTGACATGCAGTGAACATGTGACAACTGGAGTCATTCACACTGTAAAACACTGTTAAAGAGTTTAGTCAAATCAACTGATCTTTTCTTGTTATGTAATTTAAATATATGAGTTTTGGGAATTTCCACTTAAACAAACTTAAAATGTTTATTTTTTATTTGATCTCATGTTCGAATGAGTGCTTAAAGTTTTTAAAAAATGGAGGCATTTTGACTTAAACGATAAGTTGAATGAATGAACAATTAAAAGTTCAGTCGACTCATTAAATTAGGTCTCTAAGAAGCATTTTTTATCAGAGTTAAAATCCTCAGACAGCCTTGTTTTTCTTGTAATTTGAGAAAACAGACGCGGTGGAAACTTTCTGTGTGTTTTTATTACATGCGTCAAAACTGTTCTCAGCGTGAGAAAAGTTAGAACTGAACTCAGTAGTTAGAGTTTATCAGACTGAAACTGAGAGTAGCTTCACAGATTGTTTCTGTTCTGAGTATGCTGAAAAAAAAATGTTTCACTTGATAAGACTGTAAGCTCTCGATGTTAAATTAAGAGGAAAACATTTAACGTTAGCGAAAGAGGAATCTGTCTGATGTGAAGAGCTGATTCAGTTCAAGATTTTAAGTTCATTAAACATGAAGTATTGAACTGAATCATCTTTCCATTTGCTGAGGCTGTAAGTTGGAACAAGCTTTTAAATATTATGCACACAAGTAGTGGAACAAAATTCAAAACCTGTTGGGATCAGATCGTCTATTTAAGATCCTGGTGTCCAACATGGAGCAGTACGAGTGTTTTCTTTAATTTTAACTTGTACACTTTCTCTAACTATGTGTAAAGTGTTTTATTTTGATTGTCTGTGGTGTTTATTCTGTATGTGTAGAGTGTATGTCTGTGTACATATCTATTCCTTGTATTTTATTCTGTGTTTTAGTAATAGCTGAAAAATATGTTCTTTGCTTATTGTTATACTTACAGTACACCCATGAAAAAGAGAATATCTACTCTCATTGGGGCTTTTCCCTGTATAAATAAAAGCTAATGAAAGTTCTTTATGTAAAATTAAGAAGTAAAAATTTGAAAGTTAGACAATGCGAAAGAGGAATCTGTCTGCAGCCATTGTTGATGTGACTAGCTGAGTCAATTCAATATTTTAAGTTCATTAAACTTAAAATATTGAATTGAATCAGCTTTTCACTTGCTACGGCTGTGAGTTCTTGATATTAAATTCAGAAGAAACAATTTAAAGTTAGACAAAGAGGAATCTGTCTGCCGCCATTGTTGATGTGACGATAGCTGATTCAATTCAATATTTCAAGTTTAATGAACTTAAAATATTGAATTGAATCAGCTTTTCACTTGCTAAGTACTTGATGTTAAATTGAGAAGAAAAAAAAAGTAAAGTCAGACAAAGAGGAGTCTGTCTGCGACCATTGCTGATGTGACTATAGCTGATTCAATTCAAGATTTCAAGTTTAATGAACTTGTTTTCTCAATTTAGCTTAACTCAGCTACTTTTCTTTTCTTCTTTTTTAAACTTTCACCACTCCTAACATGACTTCAAACTAATTCCATAGCCTTAAGTGCAGTTAAAATACATCTCCAGGCAGCAGGGAATTTAGATTTCTGGGCTTAATCAATTTAAAATGATTTTCAGTAGAGATGATGACTCAAAAATAAAGGAAGTAGAAGTTATTTAACGTGAGCAATCTGTGTTGTATTTTTACATTTTTTTTTTGTCTCCTACAGTCAAAGGATGCGTGTGATGCCGCAGTCACTCGCCGGAGATCGATCAGATGCGCGCTGGCTGATAATAAAGCGCAGATAAAGGCTGCTGTGACTCCCGCAGCATCTCCCGCTGTGTGGGACCGTCATGTCACTGCGCGGCGGAGGGATACAATAACCGCTGTCATCGTGGTGCTGAGGCTTCGGCAAAGCAAAAATGTCTGCCTAAGGGAAACTCGTAACTGATATATATAGAGGATATTTTCCACACCTTATTGCTGTTTTAAAGCCACGTTTTCGCAGTTTGGAGGCGTGTTGCCACAAAGCGACTCTCCACCAGAGCACCCTAGTCGGGATTTTAATCGGAAAACAGGTAAAATATCAGCGGGAGTTTTGGGAGAAGCTCTCGGACCCGTTGAAAGAAGTTGGGAGTTGAGAAAGACCATCATTGCGTTTTGTGTTCTGGAGCTGAGGATTGAGGCTGTCATTCGCACTGTGTGTTTGCAGGTGTTGAACCGGCGTGTGGTTTACGTCTCGGTCGTTAGGTCTTCTTCTCCGTACTCCTTGTCTTAACACGGGACTAAAAAAAACCGCTGCAGCCGCCTGCAGCTTTGCGGGCTATTTTCAATCCATATGAAGTGCGGCTAGCGCTAGCCAGCTAGCTAAGGGACGTTAGGTGCCCCGGCTAACAGTAAAAGCGTCGCTCAGCCGCACAAATCACTGGCATTAACGCGCTGGGTGACAGGCTAATGAGCGACTGGCAGAAATGTCTGACTTGTAGCACGCCGTGTTATTACGGAGACACGTTGTTAGAGCACTAATGCGATGCTGCAGGTCCTGGTCCTCCTCCATCCATTCACGGCTCCCACCGACCGTCTTATCCGCTCATCAGCGCGCTGCCAGCAAAGAAAACTAAAAGGTGCAACATCTTTTTGCACCATTTAATCAATCACAGCCCGCTGTCTAAACTGTCAGTGTGCAGATGTGATGCAATGCCAGCGCCAACTTTCCTCCACAGTGATGGTCTTTTATTCTGCATCCATAACAAATGCCTCCCGTGGCAGTCATTTCCTGTGGCACTAGTCCCTGCTGTTAAATAAAGCAGCAATGATGTGACCTGATGGACTGTGTTTTCTCCAGGTTTCTAGATCGCCAGGATGAATCCTCAGCAGCGGATTGCCGCTCTCGGAACAGACAAGGAATTAAGTGACCTGCTTGATTTTAGTGCGGTAGGATTTGGCTTTTCACTGCTTTTCTGTCTTAACTCTTGGAGAGCTTTGAGGTGTGAGGACCAACTAGGCTCAGTTATTACCAGTTTATGGATTTTTTTTATTTTTGAGTAGTGTTGCAAGCTGTCCTTGATTTCTTTCTCTCTTTTTTTTTTTTTTGAGAATCATAATCAGGATAATTGCAGTTCATCAGCTTGCAGCTACACAGGGTCTAACTGCAGGTATGTGTTCATATTTTTCCTTTCAGATGTTTTCTCCACCTGTAGGCGGAGGGAAAAATAGGCCTACCACACTGGGAAGCAGTCAGTTCAGTGCTTCAGGTAGGACCTGATCCCTCAAACCCATTTCTGTAAAAAAAAACCCCTTCATGTGTCTCTTTATCCCTGCTTGCATGACTCATAAGTCAGCACATGAAAATCACTTGTTTACTGACTTTTTTTTTTGTCACCTTTGTTTAAATTGTGCCTGGGCTTATTTATACATGAAAGCTGGAGGAAAAAGTCGTTTTCAGTCTCGCATGTGATTCTTCTCCCTCCTGCGTGTGACGCTTGTGTGTGCTTTTCACATCTGGTGCTTGAAACACGAGCTCTCCACCTGGGATTGTAGTGCAGCGCCGTAGTAATGATGTAGAACAAAGCACAGTTTAGGCTGCAGACATGTGTAAATGTTTTATTGATCTAATTACAGTCACGGGGTGATACCGAGAACGCCACCCCGCGTTACAACCCTATTGTCGGAGGCATAAATAGGGAAGAAATTAGACATGTTTGGGCTGTTTTGATCAAGGTGTTGTGAAGCGAAACAATTATCAGGGTTTTGCTGAGAGGTGTGTTGGAGGAAAAAAATGTAGGATTGCTGTAATTAATATGTCTGAGTGAGAACATGTTATCTTCTCATTGAGCAATTCTGGTTTTCTTTCCTTTTGTGCAAGAAACAGTTCAATAATTGCTCAATCCCTCGTAGACAAAGACGTATTTAACTGCGTATTCCACAAGTTAGCGGTCTGTTTTGTTCATACATGAGCATCTTAATCGTTCACAAGTTTGTGGACGTCTTGGTTGTAACAGCAAGAGTTCACATCTCCTGCTTCTGGATCGCTTCCTATAGCCATAGATGCTGCAGGACATTAATCCGAAGCACAGCTATTGTCTGATGTGCCACTAGAGAAAGTCAACAATCAAGCATTCTGTTTTCTGAAAGCATGTCTTGTGTGCATCCACAAAGCCTCGTTGTAGTCAGTTATCTGCGAAACGAAAGACACACATTGAGTAGAAATGACAAAGAAACAAGAACAGAGCTGTCACACATGAACTGTGGAGCTGACTTTCATAATACCTAATCATTCAAGAGAGGAGGATGTTGTGTGTGTGTGTGTGTGTGTGTGTGTCTCTGTGTGTGTGTGTGTGTGTGTGTCTCTGTTTGTGTGTGTGTGTGTGTGTCTCTGTTTGTGTGTGTGTGTGTGTTCCAGTAAAACAAATGACAAAGAAACTAGTCAAAGTGCAGCGAGGTTTTAAGTTAAGTCACACCTTCCTGCTTCCCACAAAGATGTTTTTTTTAGATTATTATCAGTCTGGCTGATTTTTAGAATCACATCAGAAGTGTTTGTGTTGACTTTTGGATCAAATATCAGATGTACCTTTTAGTATAATGCAGTTCAGTCCAAAACACCACTAATTGCATGCTTGAAATTTACAGAGATTTGAATCGTTTGCTTTCTGAAATGAGTGTCAGAGGTGGAATTAATCGCAGGGTTTTTTTTTTCCCCCCAACAGGATTGCATCAAATTGTGCAAGTTATAAACTCAGTGTGTGTTTTCTAATTGTGGAGGAGATGTCTTCACAAGTCAGGTTGTTGTGTCATATCTAAAGCACACTCATAATGAAACGCTTGATTCTTGAACCGTTTGCAGGACTTGTCAAAACCAGACGTACCGAGCGTTATCTCAAACATAAATATCATCCTTTGTGAAGAACGCATAAGTATGTTGTTATCGTTTAATAAAGTTAACACGTCGTGCGGACGGCCACCTTTGGGCCGGGCCGTGCACTCTGTGACTTCTAAAATAGACCGACGTCAGCATGGCGCTTTTTGTTTGCGACAGAAAAGAATTGGGGGACCGTAGGGAGAACGATGTGCTGCAGCCAAAGCTCATTGTCGTCGCCGTGTGTGTGTGTTGTCTGCTGACCAACTTTGTCCTTCCAAAACATGACAAAGTATAAATCTGGGCTGCCGTTTGGTAACAAAAATAAAAAAAACTACAAAACAAATTGGACACGACAGGAAAAAAAGATGCTTAACCTACTTAAAGTTAATGGTTTTATGTGTATTTTTTTATTTGTGATACTGGAGTTGTACTAATATCTCATGCTAACACTTTTTCTCCTAATGTGTATAATATTTTTTATCCTTGCAAACTCTTTAATGACAATATTTTATATTAAAAAACATGTATGTCAGCAACTTAACCTCCACTAGCGACTGATTAGTTGCAGGAGTCTCCATGTTTCTTGTATGTATTTATGACGGTGGATGTGTTTTGTTGTAATACTGATGAGCCAGATTGTGTATAGGTTTGGTTTGGGGTCTGAACGTATTACTAATTACATGGTACCCTATATATCGAAGACCCTACAACTTAAAACTAAATATTAAACGTATCATAAATGGGTTAGCGTGGCGTTCCATGTGTGAGACCAACAGCTAAAAGAGCGTAAAGGGTTTAATTTGTGTAGTTTTTAGTCTGTTTATTGCAAAATCTTGAGAAAACTGCACATGTGAAATGTCACATTCAACACTCGAGCACCTACACGACGCCGGATTAGATTTCTAATTTCAGGAGGCTAAATTTAGTCGGCATCTGCATGCATACGTTTTGATTTAAATATTCCACCATTGAAGGCCTATAGTGGATAAATCCCTCCTCCCTGCAGCCTACAGTCAGAGCTCACGTCTCTCTGATCCTCAAGGTAGGGGAAGAAGCACCTACATAAGTGATTGTGAACTTAAGGCAAGTGAGTGTGCAGACACAAGTGTGGAAATTGCAGGGAATGAGAGTTTGGATTATTGCATCTCAGCTGGGCATAGCCAGATAATTGAGGCAGAGTGGGACAGGCAAGACCCTTCAAAAGTGTGCCAGAGAACGATGGATTGGAAAAAATAACCAAAGTGGCTCTAACGGAGATTCATCATTTCTCCCCTCCAGCTGTGTTGATGATGCAAATCTGATGAGGCCATTGACTCTGTAGTGTAGCGGGGCAGCGGATGACTGCTGTGAAATGGGCAATTTTCATTTAGTGCTATGTAGTGATACATTTGTTGGCTGTGACCAGCAGCTGGCGCAGGTTGGTTTGTCAGTCGGTCGGATCCCCCAAATTAAATGTTTCATTGCTGGCCACAGCTACAAAGAGCGTCACTGCTCTCACTTTGACTTCAGTTTTGTGGATAAAGCATAAAGCGGGGCTTGTTACGGCCGAGAGAGCCTGAGCTGCAGTCCTGTGTGGCGCCAGTCGATTCTCACACTGTGTTAAAAATGATTAAATTATTCATTAGCTGATTTTTATCAGCAAAAAAAAAAGAAAAAGAAATATAAAACACAATCTTTTTGGTGGTCTCTCACTTAACAGCTGCACCACTTGTCTGTTAAATCACTCTTTAATTGAATTAGTCAGTTAAATCCATTACGGAGAAGATAAACACAAACATGACACAGTAGCATTGTTCTCCAGCATGAAGCAGCAATATCTGAGTTCATCTCTCAGAAAATAGTAAAGAATTAGTACAAATATTGTGGATAAATTACTTAAAGTTTGGACTTTATTAATGATATCAGTTGAGCAGACAGATTTAGTCGCAGCTACGTGTAGATTCATCTGATTGTGGCTCAGTGTGTGTTTTATTTTAATCAATGATCTTTTTATTGACTTTTCAAACAAGGGAATTAACAATGTGAAGATTTCCTCAGCAGGATAAAATAAAAAGTAGTAGTGAGCACAAATTCTATGCAGAATATTTGTACAATGACAACCCAAAACCCCAAAAGTAAAAAAGACAAACCAATCAAAAACACAAGAAACCAACCAAATACACAAGAAAAATCATGGCTCAATCTGCAAAACATTCCCGCCAATAACCAACATAACCAGAGTGTCACTGGTAGCAAGTCCTCAAAGCAGCAGGAAACGCACTGATGTCAAGTTCTTTTCTCTTATCTTTATTTCCTCTTTCCTCGTCCCAAACTGAAATTGCAGTAAATAAATCAAGGATGGATGTGAGTAGAATCAGTGGGGTATCTTACAAAGGGTCCCCGTACTTTTTCAAACCCCCCCCTTGGTTCTGAACAGTGATCTTCTCCAGGCTCAGGCAGGACGTTACATCTGATAGCCACTGATTGTAGGTCAGGAGGGCAGCACCCTTCTCAGTGTAAACTGCTGCAGTTACCATAACTTAAAGTTCACTGGACATCTCTTGATTGCAAGTTAGTTTTGTGCACGTTGCTGCAGACACTAGTGAATGTTGACACGCATGGACGTTTATGGGTTATTATTCTGGGAACACTTGTGTTTTTTTGTGTTGTTTCTTTGTTTTCCTTCCTCTCCAAAACGTTCTCAGTTGATTGCTTCACTGTTAGATTCTTCAGCCGAACCCCCGGACGTACCGTCTCTCTCTCTGAGCCGTTTACTGCTCTGACTGACCGCCGTAGTGTAACTTACACAAAGTAATGGAGAGCTCACGTTAACCCAGTCTGACCCCGTGTCCCTGTGAAAACCGTTCGGTTCCGCCGAGTCCAGTTTTTTAAAAATTTCACGTTCGTTACTTGTTTACACACACTTGATACAGCCATTGGTTTTACTGTTGCTCTCAGTTGGTTTACACAAGAAGCCATTATGCCACAGAGAGCCAAAAAACTCAACAAAACAGTGTAAGAGTGTGTTTTGGATTTGTTTGGATTATCGTGGATGTGAATCAGAACTCACCACGGTGTGACTGTGGTGGCGTGAACCCAGAATGATTTAGAGGAAATACACAATATTCTGAAAGCTTTCACAGATGTTTCTCAAATCGTGTATTTTTTCATACTAATATCAACATCCGGATACGACTGACGTTTCTCATTTTATTCAAGATAACCAAAAGCTTTTTGTTTTTTTTATTTGCGCCCCTTTAGGCCTGTAGTGTTTCTGCCAACTGTAAGTATTCATTCACACGAGGAATCGGGTTTCTATCGATTCCAAACTCAGCTTTCAGGTGACGATGTGTGAATGTATTTAATGACGTGTGTAATAAAAATGGAAGAAAATAACATGACCTGTTGAATTTGATGTGTTTATGTTTGAACGCTTTCATCCTGAGGGTTTCATGTAATCACAGTCATGTAATGCACCTTTACTGGATATTGTGTTTTTAAGTATAAAGATTTTCCAACACTTTGTGGCTTTTGACTAGTTTATAATTTCTGTTTTATACTTTTTTTTTTTCTTTGGGTTCTGGTCTAGTTATGTTTTTCCACACAGTTCAACCTCTGAATAAAAAAAAAAACACATCTGTATTTGGTAGTTTAATTGATATTAACAACAATAAAGATTCTTGCAGACTGATTATTTGGACACACCCAGTGTTTGCTCTGGTTATGTGATTAGTCCGCTTCATTTGATCTGCATGAAGGGGGAACAAAACCCATCTATAGTTGCACTCAGTCCAACTCATGTTGCACAAACGAAGAGGAATTAATATTAAATTTAACTGACAAGTAGCTCATTTTCATTCTGCAGTGCTCAGAGCTACATGAACATTTTTTGCAGGACTGTAAGACTTCATATGTGTTCAATAATGTTTTATGTTTCACTGAAATGATGAGCATTAATATATATTATTAGAATACAGCTGGACTGCATGTTGCATGTAAAGACAAATTGATAACGACGGGACAAAATAAGAGCGTTACAGCTGCTTTATCACAGCTTTGACGGCGTCTCTAATCATCTGCACTAAATAAATAAAGAGAGTTTATTTAAACTGAACCAAACAGGTTATCAGGTTCAGCTTATAGATCAGCTACTGACTGAGCTGAGCAGTCAGTGTCACTGGTTGTGAAATCGTAAATAAATAAAACAAGCTGATATTCGCCTGTTTAATCCTGTGATTTGCTAAAGCTGACACTTTGTGATGCCTCAGCCTTGTTGCATGTTCTTACATCAGGAGTATTTTTATTTAAGTCTCTGAAATCTTTCCACTTGTGCAGCAAATGCCTCCGTATTTCTCACGGATGACTTTTTTTTTTTTATTTGATTTGATTGAATCAGGGGGTTTTGGGGATGGTGCAGCTGTTTAAAAAAAAGGAGCAGTCGGTTATGAGTTCCAACCCCTCTCACACTAAAGATAACAGAAAACTAGAACATTAAAACCTTCATATTCACTAACTTTCAGTCTGTTGCTGGGCAGGGAGGGTATGTGTGAGTTATCGGTTGCAGAGAATGTCGGACACAATATATAATATATGTTTGGCTGTAAACCAAAAGCCTAAATAGCCTAAAAACGCTGCTGCAAAGTTGGGTGATCATTATTTTAGGCTTCACATGCTTATCTGATTTGTTGTTCATACAGAAATCTAGATTTGCATGCCGTGTGTGAAAGGAGAACCGAGGTGATTTTGAGCAGAGCAGCACTGATTCTCCTCATTTTACTACATTGCAGCCGTTGCATTTGTGTGTTTTTTCCCCCCCTTTAGCCTCTTGTATCAGTGAGTAATCTTATTGTGCTGGCTGTCTGTACACGGAGAAGAGAGGGGACCCTTGAGCCCTTGTAGGAGATGGTAATCAGACGAGATGACAACCAGTGGCCCAGACTGCAAACACTGACCATTGTTACGCTCAGAATGTAAAAGGCCTCAGTCGGGCTTCGATGCCTCAATGCCGTTGTCACGCCACCAACAGTAATACATCAGTGACTGAACGCGAGCTACAGCCAAAAATGACGAAAGTGAGACAAAATTAGCCGTACAGTTTTTCCATAAAGCCGCCGAAGAAGAGGAAATGAATGTACTGAGCGCACGCAGCACAGCATCGTGTTTGTCAGGATGAAACTTATCTATAGCTCTGCTCACTGGAGCGTTATTTCTGGGTAGAGAAATGTCACCGACTTTCTGGTTAAGTGTATAATTAGACGCACGAGTTTCTGACTTAAGAAGTTATTGGCAGCGAAGAGGTTGGAAACATTTTTATTGATATGGAAAAATTAGCGTCGACGAGATCTGAAGTGTACCGTTGGAGATAAGGTTCTGTTGGGTATCCTGTAACAGTGGAAATGCGCCTCCTCGTCAGGTTTCAGTTTGAGATTAATGGCTTTGGTGACACATAAAAAGTGCCCATTAAGCTGCATCGAGCCTCATTAGGTCAGATTGATGCGTTATGTGGAGCTGCTTGCTGAGCTGTGGTGGTGATGGTGAATCAGAGGAGCGTCGCACACGTTTTCATCTATAATTACAGACTTTTAACTTCTGCTTTTGTTTGTTTCGCTTGTGTACATTTCTGCTGCTTGAGAATCGTGACTTCTTGGATGCATCTCATCTGTTAAACTTCACACGTGAGAATATACTTAATATTGAAAAGATTTGCGTCTTGCTCGCTGTATTATTATTTTCCCAAGCATTCTTTTTTTGTGTAAAATCCGATATTCTTTATTTGAAATAGAAAATGAACAAATGGTATTGCATCTTACTGATGAAATTACAACAGGGACAATCAATAACTTGGAGAACGTTGATGCTTTACCCGCTCTGCTCTTCTGTTTTTCTTGGTGCAGATCTGGACCGTCGCTGCGACACAATATTGTCTCAAACAGCCGAGAACAATGGAGGCGTCAGATATTTGTTACTGACTACGTCGCATAAATTGAATTGCAAAGATCAGATATTATGTTTTTCAACGTATGCCAGATGGTCCGGCGTTTTGCGGTTATTGATTTTATTTGTTTATCTGTTTGAGTTTGGAAACATAGAGGTTTTCCTTTAATTTAGAAAATGAGTTTTTGTCAAGTTTCAGTGCTCAGCTGTTTAGCATGGAAGACGTCGCCTCGTGAAAGTTTTGCTTTTTGGCACATCAGGAGCAAAAGTCTGACCTTTGAAGATGATGATTGGTTCCTTTATATGTTCGTTTCTAGATGGAAAACACTAAAGTTGATGCTGTGGCACCTCTCTGTCACTCCTGCCTTTTTAATTAATGCTAGCATTGCCTACTTTTGTGCCTCTAAAGAGTGGATTTCAGGATTTGTGTTTATGGGAACCATCCAGATCCATGAATAGCTTCTCAAAGTTTCCCATTCGGTGTTTTGTTTTACTTCAGTTTTGGGTGATGTAATCTTGGCTGAATTTAGGGCGACAGCTAACAACTGTTTTCACTAATTATTTTCATCAATTAATGTGACAGTTGTTTTCCTCCAGATTTTAAATTTTTTTTATTATTATTATTTCTGAAATGTCAGACCATGTGGAAGACTCTCACATGCCTTGTTCTGTTCAACCAACAATTAAAACAATCCTGAGTTCACATTGATATGAACAACAGAGGGAAAGCAGACATGTGTTTGGCAAGTAAGTCAATTAATCACTAACAAAAATAGTTGCCAATTAATTTTTTGTCCACCTGCACTGCCATTATTTTTTAAAAAACAGACCTTTTCTCCTTCTTGCCTGTTGCCAAATCTGGGAAACTTTTAGGAAACATATGTCAGATTGTCCATGTTCCATTCAGAGTGCAGTAAAATAACACAGGAAGGACGTGGCGTTTGTAAAACATGCTATAGTTATAACAAAAGACTCCAAACATCAGGGCTGAACCGTTACTTTCAAATTGAATTCGATGCAATTACTGGATCGCAAAAGGCTGCAATTAAAGCTATACATTATTCAGAGCGTCCGACCCGGAGGTTTAAACTGTTGCCTCGGTGTTTTTTGTTTTTTACAAATTCATGCTGCCGTCCTCGTGTGACAGTTTTGCTGGTACCTCGAGTGGTAGTGCTCTTAAATCTGTGAATACTGAACTGAAGCTTGACTTTAAAACAAATCAGATACCAATATCTGTCAAGAAAACCACAATTAGATGTCGTTCAGCTCTAGAAGACGTGCTGTTAAACACCCACAGATGGCCATTGACTGACCAGCATCGTCTTTATCCTGATGATTCAAAAACACTGTGTATATGTGAGAGACGGGGAGCACGGATTCAGACTCGCGGACCTGTACGGTGAACTCTGTGAGGAGTCGTGGCTTGCTGACTGAGCTGTGCATCCCTTCTTCTGACAGGTATGGATGAGCGGACCAACCAAGCGTCTTGGGCCCCAGGTGGCGAGTCCAGTCCTTCCTACGAGTCCTCCCGGGTAAGATGACCCACACGGCAAACCCCCGTCTGAATGGCCTTTCTGCTCCACAGCACATCATTTAACACTCATTACATCAAAGTGGTACATTCACAATGTTTTAGTCTCACCTTATCCCCACCACCAGTCGTGTTGTATGACCTGTAATAGACACATTTCTCAGTGACAGAAGGGACTGGAAAATGTTCCCGTGGCTGCTGGAATTGATTTTTTTCCCCCCTTATCTGAGCAGATATGGTTTGCAGTTTGCAGGAAAACCAATAAACCTGATATTATTGTGCTGTTTTTTTTTTTTTCAGTCATGGAGATTTGTTAAATTATTCCAGCCCAGATTATACGTTAATGCTGCTCACAATTAATTTTCACAATTACCCCAAGTCAGATTCCTCCTGATTGTTTTAATGTCTGGGAGATTAGGTCTTTTTTTTTTTTTTTTTCCAGTATGCGATCAGTTGCTGTGCCATTTAGAAAATGACTTTGCTCTTAATCCCAGTCATTATGATGTAAAGCGGGGAATCAGTGTCATTATGTGGATGACTAATGGACAAACTAAAAGCTAATTTAAAGATACACCCACAAATTTTTACCCCATCGCTTTGTTAATGTTTTATCAGCTGTGTGAGTGTCAAAACAAAAGCACTGAGTGTGGTGGAAATATTACTGAGAGCTAATGATTATTTTTTATTATTATTGATTAATATGCCATTCATGTTGTCCATTTACTGTTTAATAGTTTAGGCTATTAAATGTCAGTAGTGAAAAAAAAAAAAAAAAAATCAGATGTTTTGTTCACCCAACACACCGAAGCGCAACGATATTTAGTTCAGAGTTATTCAGAACAAAGAGCTTTTAGCCAAATCTTCTCATTTGAGGATCTGGAGCTGGAGAACGTCTTGTTTGGAAAACTGCTGCAATTAATTGAATATTTATTACGATCACAACGAACTGCGATTATGTCGTGTAAAATGGTTTTGTTTTTAAAGTAATTTTTTGTTTCTAGAAGCTTCTCTGTCGCCTGGCTAACGTCTACCGTAGCTGCACATGAGGCATTTAGGGAACATCAGTGAATGTACTGTCTGTTGAAAAGTAGATGTTTAAGTACCATGTATTTGAAAGTGGAGCCTCATAACGAGCAGCTGTCATTGGTTGTGCAACTCTGTACATTTAAACCTGTAATCATCAGCGATAAAACAAGCCAGCATTGTTGGTGATTCGTGTTTTTAAGCAGGTTCAAGCTGGTCGTGACTCGTTAATCGGACCCTTAACAATCCTAAACTTTTCTATCCGACAGGTTTTTAGGAAAAACAAACGGAACCCATTAAAAACAGCCTTAACATACCGACAGCCTTGGATTCTGACTCCGACATGACATTTTATGTCACCAATCAGGATAACGGCGTATTATCTGTTTAAAACGTTGTGAGTAAAACGTTACTTAAGTAAACATGGACGGTAACGGTGGAGCGTATCTGCCACTCCCCCGCCGCCGCCGATGGAGGAAACAGAAGTGTGAGCGCTAACTAAACTAGCATCAGCAGCCAAGTACTGCCTGTGCGTTGAGGCCACTTCCACCCCATTGGAGCGCTCCCCCAAGGTGGAAGTGTCCCCCGACCGCACCAAATATTCAGATATTCATCATTAATTGGGCCTGAATATCCAGAGAGCAGAAAGTGCTCGACCTCCGTCTTGACAATCCGACAGCCTTGCTATCCGACATAAAAGAAGGTTTTACATTTAGTGTCGGATTATCGAGTCACGACTGTAGTTAATTCTGTAGACACTGATGGAAATAAACTGACCCTAAATATAGTTATAGAAGAAGCTTGTTATTGTACAAGAGATACAACATGACATATTTAAACATAGTTATAGATACGATGGCTGAAATCTTTTATCCAAATTCTAATTCTGTGCTTAGAGAGGGCTTCACAGAATGTCAGCATCTTTGCAGACATTACAGTAGCCTAAGTACAGTAAATTATTTGTCAGTAAAAATGATAACCGGCCACTATGGGAGGACTTTGGCCTGAAGCAGCAAGAGGTAAACAGACCAACCTACTGATGGCAGACATCCAAACATAATTCAACAGCCTATGTTGCATTCACTAGACTTACTTATAAATTTTAGCGTCTTTTTTGTGTGTGACTGATTCCTGGTGATGTCTTGCGTTGCTCTTTTGTGCACAACAAGTCAGCCTTTGTGCACATTTTGTTCACGATCACCAAAATTAGAGAAGAACATGAGAATTTAATTTATTTGTTTTTTAATGAGTTCTTGTCCCCTTAAATTAGAACTTGATGGTACTTGTGTTGCCTTAATTGTGACTACTTAATATATGACAGGTTCTTGCTTTTTTAGTGAGGAAATGATGTCCTCGAAATATTTCCTATTTAATGCATTTTACATAATAAGAATAGAGGAGAGGTTTGATCGCAGATTTAAACTGTCTGTCTTTGTTTAAGTGAGAACATCTCACTGCTGGTGTGAGCAAGTGTGAACAGCTCTCCCCCTGTTTGTTTGTCTCTCACACATTGGTTGTTCTCGATGCCCTGTATGAATTTCATTTAATGTCAATCTCCTGTCACTTTCGATTAGAATTCAGCTAAATGTCAGAGCCACTCGGGCTGCGTTACCTTGTTTATTTCTCTGTGCCCTTCCCCAGCGAACATCTACAGGCTATGGTAACATAGGCAGCTTGATTTGAATTATAAGACAGAGACGCTTGAGATATCTTTGCTCCAGGTGCATATAAATGAGTGATTCTGACATTACAAGGCGCAGCATCAGCCAGCAGACAGCTGTTTGCACCTCCATAAGGCGCGCAAGCAAACACTCACACTCCACAATCACACACACCTTATACAGATACAGACTTGATTTATGATTTATGCCTATAGAGTGCTATGTGCTCATATATCCTGGTTTGGGAAAGGAGTCGCGTTTCTTCTAAACCTCAGTACGATACAACAATCAGCTGAGATGAATAATTTTGAGATGTTAATATAATTCACGTCATGGTTATGACTGTAGTTTACAAATAAAGTCGACCACTTGACTGGTGATTCAATGAGATACAGAGAAAAGCAGCTTGTTCTTATTAATGCTATTTAATTATCTACAGTCTTTTCATTTACACATTTTAAAATGATCAGAAAAGCACAGTTTTATCCATCATTTACACATTACAACCAGTTTAGACTTCAGAGCTGTACTGGTGCCACAATCTTGAGCTCGATTTTACACAACTAAAGTCTTTCCACTATACATTGATGCAGAAAAGGCTCAAATTCATAATTCAGTGTTTAGAAAAATTCACCAACATGCAGGAAATTAACGTTTTGATGCTCAAATTTCTTATTGATTGATTGAGGATTTTACTAAAGTATGATGAGCTGATTGAAAATGAAGAAGACTATTTAGTCCCATGGTTTAACTGCATTGATAACTTTCAAATGGGTACTGTATTTGAATTAAAATTTATATGGAATGTTGTGTTAATAGGATTATCAGAGCCCTGTGGACAGTGTTGCAGGTTTTACTCACAAAATCAAATGTCATGCGTTGTGTTTCATTAAACTGTCCAACAATAGATCAGAATTAAAAGCTCCAGCTTGAACAGCTCATTGTGCTGATGAAACCTATTTCACTTTTGAGTATAAAATGAATGCAGGACTTAGTGAAGAAAACTATTGGATTTCTTGTTCAACCACTAACACCAACATTCAGTTAGAGAAACAATAAAAATCAAGTAAGACAGGGTTTGTCTGCAGCCTTCAAATCACTGAATCCTGGAGCCCTGTGCTCTGAAAGTGAAACTAAAATTCTGACCGACAGTTCAGATGATGCTCCGAGTTTCAGAGTGAATGAATAACCACAAACCGTTATACAAATGGCTGGAGAATCCATCATCCATTATCTCTACACCGCTTAATCCTCACTAGAGTCATGGGGGGCTGGAGTCTATCCCAGCTGACTCAGGGTGAAGGCAGGTTCACCTGGACAGGTAACCAGTCTATCACAGGGCTACACTTAGAGACAGACAACCAAGCACACTCACATTCACACCTACGGACAATTTAGAATCACCAATTAACCTCAACATGGTTTTGGACCTTGTGGGAGGAAGCTGGAGAACCTGGAGAGAACCCACGCTGCACGGGGAGAACATGGAAACTCCACAAAGAAAGATCCCGGGTGTCCTCACCAGGACGCGAACCAGTGACCTTCTAGCTGTGAGGCGACGGTGCTAACCACTGTTTCGTGTTCAGGCTCTGAGCAAGCACAACGTAGCTGGTTAGCGAGGGACCAACTAGGAGCTCAAACTGTTTCTTCATGTGTACGTGATGAACTTTTACAGAGTGTTTCGACTGATTGATCGTGTTTCTGCTCTGACATGCAAAGGACTCGTTGCATTGGTGGGAACAAACGTTTTCTGCAGCAGCTGTAGAGAATTAAGTCATGCTTCTGAACTTTCATCACCTGTTGGTGCTGCACTGAGCTGCAGGTGAAGCAGAGCTGCTCCACTCTTATAAACTAGAAAGCAAAAGTCCAACATGGACACATCCGACACACGTCTTACAGGGATGAGATAGAATTTGCCGCACAACGATCTTGATTTCTAAAGTACTGTTAGCAGAACCGCTAATGTGAGAACTTATCGATCCTCCAGGATTTAAAAATTTTGCCCTGGGACTCGGTACCCATCTCTAATCAGGAAGTGTTTTAGCGAGCTGTTGGGCCACCATGTGCAGCCAGAGCAGCTTTAATCCGTCATTGGTTCTCCAAGTCTCTGGAACCAGAAGACTGAACACCGTCCTTCCAAAAGATAGGTCCTGACTTGGTGCTGTGATGGTGGTGGACAGAGTTGTTGAACAGGTCAGTTCATAGGTGTTTGGTTGTGTTGACATCAGGTGACAGCAAAGGCCCCACAGTGTATGATTCACATCATTGTCCTGCTCATTAAACCATTCACGAGCCCTCCTGGTCTATGGGTGGGGCC